CTCAATTCCTGCATGGGATATGCGATACCCCAAATAGTCCACTTGTTGTTTGTGGAATTCACATTTTGACAATTTGGCATATAATTGGGCATCCAGCAGTTTTTTTTAACTTATTACAAACCAGCTGTATATGATCTTTCAAGTTATCAGAATAAATGAGAATGTCATTCAAATAAACCAACATTCCCCAATACAGATATTCATGTAATTAATTAGTTGCATAAAGACCCCAGGGCCCCCCAAAAGGGCATGACCTTGTACTCATAGCAACCAAAAGGGGTGCTAAATGAGGTCATCCATTCGTGCCCTTCTTTGATGCGCACTCGAAAATATGCATTCCTTAAATCCAGCTTAGTAAAGATTTTTCCCTTAGATAAATGTGGGAACAAGTCTTTCATTAGAGGTAATGGGTACTTGTTTTCTTTGCAAATAGCGTTGAGCCCCCTATAGTCAGTACAAAGTCTTAAACTTCCATCTTTTTTCTCCCGAAACAGAACTGGTGCAGCCATCTGCGATTTAGCAGGTTATATAAATCCTCTTGCCAGATTGGTATCTATAAACTGCCTTAAGGCTGCCAGTTCTTTTTGGGTCATAGAGTACTGTGTTTTTTTCTTTGGGAATTTAGCCCCGGGTTCAATTTCAATAGCACAGTCAGTGTCTCTGTGGGGAGCCAGTGTGTCTGACTCCTTTTTGCTGAAAACTGCTTTTAAGTCCCTGTAGGGTGTTGGAATGTTGTCAATTGATTCAGAGTCCAGGCTCTGGGGCAGGATACTGCTGCTTGCAGCTGCTGCCACAACGCCTTCCCCTGTCGGTGGGTTAGAACCCAAGTAAGTTCCACCCACAAACTCCATTCGCCCTGTTTTCCAATAGACTCTAGGGTCCCACCTTTTTATCCAGTTTGCTCCCAGGATTAGGGCATAACCTCCCAAAGGAGCCACTAAGCATTTAATAGTCTCTCGGTGGGTTCCCACTTGCAGTTCAAAAGGTTCAGTGCAGTATTGCACAGCCCCTCCCCCTGCTTGATATCCATCCAACTGGTTAAATACTATGGGGGTTTTCAATTTTTTCACTTTTAGTTCTAAAGCATTGACAAGAATTGGGCTGATTAACCAGCGTGAGCAGCCTGTGTCCATTAACGCTGTTAGCGTAGCTCTGCGCTCCATTCTGGGTGCTACTTTTATGGTGATAACACTCACCCCTTCGTCCTCATCGGAATCATCGTCATTGTCGTCAGTCACACCCGCCATTTTGTCAGGACCCCCCCCCCAGGTTGGCCAGCGGGGTTTTCCTCCTCTTTCACCACCAATCCTTCTTCGTAGAGGATGGGGTCTGAGAATGGCAACTCCATGCCTCCAGCTGTGGTTCCCCTCTTCCCTTTGCAAGCGGTGGCCTTTTGGGCAGCTCCCGGGGATTTCTGCGGCTCCTGCGCACACGCAGGCATCGGCTTGGTACAGGCTGGTGTGAAATGCCCCGGTTCTCCACAACGAAAACAGACGCGTTGCCTTGCCGCTCTGGGAAAACTCTCGTCTCCTCCTCTCACTGGCAGTTTCCGAAGCGCTTGCACGGGCACGCCGCTCTGCCGCTTGAAGGCTGGATCAACGGCCACCCAATCAGCTTCCACTTGCGCGGCGTGTTCCACCCATCCCTCAACAGTACGTGGGTTTGCTCGCGAGTAAGCCAGTCGCCACAAATCGCGGCGCAGCCCTTGTTGAAAGCAGGAAACTTTAAACTCCTCAGGCCAATGTGGGAGCTTCCCCACAAGGCTCCAGAATTCTAGGGCATATTCGCCAATATTCCGGGATCCCTGCCACACTTTAACTAATTGGGAGTGGGCCCTTGTGGCCGCTCCCGGGTCTTCAAACCTCCTCCTCAGGGCTGTTAAAAAGCGGGCGAGGTTGTTGAGTCCGGGTGCTTGGGCTTCGTGCATTTCAATCAACCATTCCCCTGCCTTCCCAGAAAGCACCCTGCAAACGTAGATCATGTGTTCCCTGTCAGTGGCGAATAGATGGCCAGTCTGCTTCATGCACAGGGTAACGTGAGCCATGAAACTGGCCAGTTTGTTCGGATCCCCACTGTATTTTTCGCATAATCCCTAGCGCTTGAGGAGGGTGTCTTGGTTGCCTTGAAGGGGTGCAGGCAGCAATTGGGCAGCAGGAGGTTGCACAGCAGGTGCGGCTGGAACAGACAGGGGGCCCGGAGCTGCAGGACCCGCTGGAGTTGGCATCCCGGGGGGAGGGGGGTGGCTAGCCGCGTGGCTCCCAGTCTCTCCTCTCCATACTCTCACTCTGCCTCAGGGCCCTGGAACATACCTGAACACCGTATCAGGTTGCCCATCCCTCTCATCTCTTGTCGCATCATGCTGCATTCAGCTTGCAACAGGCTCATGCTTTCCTCTAAGGCTCCCATCCAGGTGGATTCCACTCGGCCGGTAGTCATGGACCAATGCTCCTCGGGCTCCATCCCTAGGAATGACGTTTCCCCGAGCAGCTCTTCCCAGTTCCATACCTGGGCTTTGCACCATTCGGGGTCGCTTGCCGAGGGAAGGCGTGCAAAGGTTCTTACTAGGGTTTCCCCCTCCTCTTCGCACCCCCCAACCGCTCCTCTGTCAGCACTCTGCTCTTCCATCTTGGCAGCAGCTGGGCTTCCTAGGTGTTTGGGGTGAGAGATTCCATGGCAGGGGGTTTCCCCCCCCCCTCGGGTAAATCCCTCACTTGAATTTGTGAGATTCAACAAAATGTCAGAGTCTGCACACTCATTCCCAAAGTTCAGTAAATCCTCTGGAGTCTAAATAGTTCCATTAAAGATTTCTTTATTAGGAGAAATGCACAGCATTTATAGTTTATTGTATCTAAGCTTACAAAGCAAAACCTTCCCTTTTTAAGCCCATTTCCTTCCCCCCCCTCCACCCTTTTCTTTTCCTGCTTGAAATTCCTCACACCTTTCTCCTGGTCTCACAGTTGCTTGACCTTGTTGGCACCTCTGTAGAGATAACAGCAGCACCTGGCTTGGCATCTTCCTCCAAGCCTCCCCCTTCTCCTAACTTCAATGGCAGGAACAAGCAAGCGGGCCTGCAATTAACACTTTAACCATTTAATTGTTTAGTATCCATTGCTAGTCTAAATTAAATGAAACTATGGTTTGTAGCTTGCGTAGATCCTGACAGCAGCAGGATACAAGAATTCCACTTGGTGAATTGACATTCTTTCTGGATTAAAAAGGGAAAAAAAGGAAGTGTTAAAGATTTAAAAACTTTTGGCAAAAAGCTTAACAAGGAGTGGATATAAGAAAGTTTAAAATGAATAAAGGGGATAGTTATTTTGAAAGATTATTTTTGTGATGAAAGTGTTCTTGAATAAATTGGAATTATAATAGACAAATGAAATAGACCTTCGTGGAAATGTTTTTCGTTTGCTATTAAAGAGTGCAGACAATTGATGGATTTTACAGAACAAAAGATAAAGATAATATGAGCCAGACTGTGATGCTATCTGTAACTATGGAGTGCCATTTGAGACAAAAGTATTAAGGGCACGAAAGACAAAAGAGAAAAAAGGGGGTGGAGCTTGCCTTTTACTCTTTCCCTTACAACTGAGGCAGTTTCATTTTTGGATTACAATATTACAATGACAACTACCACAAAAGCAGCAAAAACAGCCAAGGGGAGGAGAGGATTGTTAAAGCAACCTGCAGAGAGAGGAATTACACCAGATTTACTTCAGAAAATGTTTGAGGAATTGGGCAATAAGTTATGACACTAAAATTTGATACTAAATTGATTAAATCACTTGACACTAATTTGATAGCTTTTGAAAAAAGAATAGATCAAAGACTTGTAAAGATGAAAGAGGAGATGAAAGAAGAAGTTAAGAAGATGGTAAGGTCTGTCTAACAAGCATCTGGAGATGTAAAACAAATTAATGTCAAAGTGAAAATTCTGTAAGACAGAAGTTATAGACAGCTGAAAAGAGAACTAGGTGATTTGGCACTACTGGAACTGAGAGAAAATGAAATTTGTTTGACATTTAGAGCAATCCCAGAGGATTCTGATGAAGGTATTAGAGAAAAGGCTATTAAATCTTTAGCAATTTTTTTGGATTGGGATGAGGAGGATACAGAGGCAGAAATTGATAAATCATGTAGAATAAATATAAGATTTGCAAGAATAAGAAATGTTCCAAGGGATGTCTTGGTGCACTTTGTCAGGAAGAAAAGATGAGATCCAGTTTTGCAGCAGCATTTTAATATAAGACTGAAGATTGATAATACAGATGTAATTGTTCTTAAAGAAATTCTTATTAAAATCTTACACAAGAGGAAAGAGTATTCTTTTCTGACTGACAGATTAAAACGGAAATTGTCTAGAATGTATAAAAGGCACTTCAAATTTATGTTGGAAATGTGAACAAGAAGGGACATTTTATCATGTTTTGGTGGACATGTAAAAACACTAGAAAATTTTGGATTCAAACTCACACACTGATTCAGAAGTTTTTAAAGATTAATATACAATTGAAACCGGAGGCTTTTCTTTTGGGATTGATGGACAAACAGTTGGAAAAAAGTTATGGAACTTTGTTTTTGTACGTGATAACTGCAGCAAGATTATTGTATGCACAAAGATGGAAAGATTTGGCACTATCCATAATGGAGGAATGGTTGGTAAAGATGATGGAGCTTGCTGAGATGGCCAAATTGACTTGTTTGATCACAGAAAAGACAATATCTACGTTTATTGCTGACTGGAAATCCCTTATGGACTTTTTGCGTAAAACAGAAAAAAATGAACTTATGATTTATGGTTTTGATTATTAAACTGGTTAGATTATTTATTTATTTATTTATTTATTTATTTATTTATTTATTATCTTCCTTTTTAAAACTCTTAATAAAATTATATAATTTTTTTTTTTAAGTGTCTTGTGTCTTGGTTTCTCCAGGCTACTCATACATTCAGTATCATTTCCCCAGGAGCCTGGAGTTCTATCATGGCTTGGAAACTCAACTTTGAAGCACTTCCTAGTTCTTCAGAAGTTTTCCTAAGTGCTAGTGGCCAGCTTGAACACCTTGGCCTGGCTTTTATAGACTTCCAGGGGATTGCATTTAAATACATGTTTAGATCTTTCCTCCAATTTTCTACTCAGTGTTGTCCCTTGCCATTCTTAGAGTGGTGCTCCTACTCCCCGGAAAGAAGAAATTTTGTGTCCTCCTGGCTGGCTCTTCATGGAAGAATGGAAAGTGGAGGTGAACCGGGCTGTGGATGATTCAGGCAAGCGTTTGGCTGCACCCAGACAGATATTTCTTCTGAAAGTACCATGCAGATATTTAATTGAAGCAACTTTAAGCTGAGAGAAAGGTACTGGGGGGAAGGGCAAAAATTAGGTAGATAAAATACTGGTCATCCTCCATCAAAGTTCTGGATGGAGACTTAGTAAATTTTTTATCTAATATACAGAAACCTCACCCAATGCATGAATATTGCCTTATCGCAGTGATTCTCAAGGTTGGCAAGTTTAAGACATGTGGACTTCAACTCCCAGAATTCCCCAGACAGCATGCTGGCTGGGGAATTCTGGGAGTT